GCGGCGGCAGCAGCGTCTCCTTCTCGTGCGGGTACTGCGAGAGCCACGAGATGTCGGCGCCTCGGTCGATCATGCCCATCACGAGCTCGAGCACCGTCGACGCCTTGCCCTCCGCGTAGTGCACCGCCTGCGCGCGATCGGTGGTGGTCGACGAGAAGCCGTACTCGACGCCGCCGCGGAAGCCGAGCACGTCCGGCTTGAAGAAGGCTTCCGGGAGCGTGGCGCCCGTCCAGCCGCGGTAGAGCGGCGTGATCCTGGTCAGCGGCGACAGCTTGACGATGATCGAGTTGATCGCGTGGATGGTGGTCGAGTACTGGTTGTGCCACGTCCAGCGCACCGCGGCTGGCTCGCCTGCCGCCGTCGCAACCCACTCGCCGAGGTGAAGCGTGCCGCACTTCGTCTGCAGAAAGGGCACCTCCTCCATCGAGGCGTACTCCAGCCGCACAGCGCCGTCGGCACCGCGCGCTGAGGAGAAGCGAAGGACGGCGTTATACTTCTCGTACATCGGCCCCGTGTACATCCGGCCGGCGATGAGCTCCTCCAACGTGAGCGGCGCCTGCCCCGCCTCAACGAGCCTCGGGTTCATCTCGTCCGCCATCTTCGCCTCGTAGGCAGAGAGCGGCTCCGGCTTGCGGCACCACTCGCGATGAGCCGTGCGAAAGTCGCCGCCGCGCTCGGCGTAGCGGCTGTTGTGGTCCTCGACCACGGGCGCGACGACGAACTCCCACTCCATCCGGGACGTTGCGCCCTCGATGCCGTTGGAGGTGTCGAACGGCACGTCCGCATCCTTCTCTTTGCAGTGCTCCGTCTCCATGGCCTTGAAGAGCGAGCCGTCCACCATGAGCGGCGGCCCGATGAGCTTCTCGAGGCCTGCCCACAGGTCAGGGGACGGGGGTCGGCCGGTGAGAGAGGGCGGGCAGGGTAGGCAAGCTACTGGCGCGCAGCACGCCTCCGTAGAACTGCTCGACGCCGCCGAAGCCCATCTCGCCCTTGAACGCGTCGCCCTCCGCGGCGAACTTGGCGTTCAGCGCCGCCCCGGTCGCGGCGCTCTGGCCGCGCAGCTTCTCAATGGCGGACCAGAGGGTCTCGGCGATCGCCTCACTCAGCTTTACCGCCTCGAGCTTCTCCTTGAGGTCGGCGAGCGAGAGGCTGAGCACGTACGTGAACGGGTCGGTGGTTCCGGCAGGCTCCTTCAGCGCCTTGGCCACCACCTCAGCGAGGGCGAGGGAGTCCACCCAGCCAGCGACGCCCCACTCTGCAGCGGGCTGTGCGTCGACCTGGGAGGAGCGGAGAGAGGGAGGGGTTAAGGCGGCGGGGAGGGTGGCGCGGCGGCGGAGAAGAGGGAGGCAGACGCGGACGCGGCGGCGGAGGAGAGGGAGGCGGCGGCGGATGCGGCGGCGGTGTGTGGGCGGGGACGGTGGCGGTGGCGAAGGCGGCGCGGTGCGGGGAATGCGTCGGCCTTGCCGTCGCGCGAAGTGGCGGTGGCGCTCGGCGTGCTGACGCTGTTGAGCTGGTCCTTGAGTGATTTGATCTCGTCCTTGAGCGACTGGGTCTCGTGCTGCTTGTCGATGTCGGTCCCACCGCTGCCCGTAAGGGGCGGGCACGGCAGCGACAGCGGCGGGGGCGGTGGGGGGCGGCGGGGGCTCACGCACGGCCACCGTCGCCTCCGCAAACGAGGCCGCC